GTTTCTGAGCCCTTTGGCTCAAGGCGAGCACTCTACCACTTAAAGCCCACTGCAGCACTAATGGCTTTCTAGTAGTTGGAGATAAGAGTCTCACATATTTTCCTGCCCAGGCTGGCTTCAAACCATGATCCTCAGATCTCAGCCTCCTAAGTAGCTAGGATTACAGGCGTGAGCCACTAAGCACCTGGCCCTGTTTGGGTTTTTTTGAGTTTTCCAACTCAAAACTCTTTGAGCACAGAGAACAAAATGGCTACTTGTCCTCACTGGAGAATCCAGGACACTGAAGCTTCTTTTTTTTTTGCCGGTCATGGGGCCTGAACTCTGGGCCTGGGCACTGTCCCTCAGCTCTTCAGCTCAAGGCTAGCGCTCTATCACTGGAGCCACAGCACCATTTCCGGCTTTTTCTGTTTATGTAGTGCTGAGGAATCGAACCCAGGGCTTCATGATTGCAAGTCAAGCGCTCTACCGCTGAGCTACCTTCCCAGCTGAAGCTTCTTGTTCAGAGTGTAGAGGGCGCCATGGCCCTCACCCTGGGTAGCACAGCCCACCAGGTGACAGGCACAAAACAGCAGAAAGAAATCCCCTCAAGGCTCTGAAGGCCAGAGGCTGAACTCAGGTGTCCCCGGGGTCTGCTTCCTCTCAACTCCCCCTCAAGGCCTTCCTTGTTGCTTCTGGCTTCCGGTGGCCCAGGAGTTCCTTGCGCAGTGGATGAATCATTCCCGTCTGCCTCTGCGCATGCAGCTTTGCTCTCCGGTGCCAACAGTCCTGCGTCTTACCATTCCTGTTTTCTTTTTGTGCCAGTATTGGGGCTTGAATTCAGGACCTTGCGTCTCGGTTGGCTCTTTAGCTCAAGACTGCTGCTCTACCATGTGAGCTACTCTTCTACCTCTATGTCCTGTGTCTTTAGTGAATCTGTTACCATCTCTTCTTTTTATAAGACACCAAATCCAGGATTTCATTCCAGGATCCTTAACTACAAAGACCCCGTCTCCAAATGAAGTCAACGTTGAGGCTCTTGGCAGCCCTGAGTTGGGAGACAGATACTATTTAATCTACTCTGGGAGTCTAGAGATCCGCATTTAAGGAAGAACCACAAACCAGAGATCCCATTTCTGAGTGTGGACCCTGGGGAAATGAAAACTTCGTATTCGCCAATGCTTTAGCCTCTCTGATCAGAGGCGAGGAGAAACAAACAGCTGTGTGACCACATAATGGAATACTACTTAGCCCTGAAAAGGAATGACCTTGGGGGCTGGGAAGGTGGCTCAGTGGTAGAGCGCTTGCCTTGCATGCCTGAGACCCTGGGTTCGATTCCTCAGCACCACATAAGCAAAAAGAAAAAAGCCAGAAGTGGTGCTGTGACTCAAGTGGTAGAGTGCTAGCCTTGAGCTGAAGAGCTGAGGGACAGCGCTCAGGCCCAGAGTTCAGGCCCCATGTCTGGACCAAAAAAAAAAAAAAAAAGAGATGTCTAATCTGGGCAGTTACTACCTTTTTCCTTGCACTTGACTATATTTCTCAAGTTAAAAAACATCTAGTTCCAGAGAAACTTTTTCTAAGAACGGGGCAAACAAGAAAAATGAAAACAACTCTGGAGGGTGTGACTTCCTTGTGGTTGCACCCAGGAAGGGGCCAGACTAAACAGTTCTACTGCTTCTTTCTGAGTGCTCAAACAGCATGAGCGGGGTGTGGTGACGCACGCCATCATCCCAGTACTCCCAGTTCATCAAATGAATTCATCCCAGTTTCCTCACCCATTCCCTCACAGTGGGATATTTTAACTTTTTTCTTTAAACCTCTTTTATCTTTTCTCCCTTTTGTCATTCCAATAATAATGCAATGACAGTCTTCATGCATAAAGTTTTTCTTCCAATGAGAATTATCTGTAATCCTAGTAGGAGGCAGAGATCTGAGGCTCACAGTTCAAAGCCAGCTCAGGCGGGAAAGCCTGTGAGACTCTTATCTCCAGTTAACTACCAAAAAACCCCAGAAGTGGCGCTGTAGCTCAAATGGTAGAGTGCTATCCTCAAGCAGAAAAATCCCAGGGATAGTGCCCAGGCCCTGAGTTCAAACCCCATGACTGACACAGAAAAGAAAAAAAATTCTCCAAGTGTATACTTTGTAGGTCAAAAATATATGAAAATTAGCCAGGCACCAGTAGCTCATACCTGTCATCCTAGCTACTCAGGAGGCTGAGATCTGAGGATCATGGTTCAAAGCCAGTCCAGGCAGGAAAGTCCATGAGACTCTTATCTCCAATAAACCCCCAGAAAAG